GGGCCAGGCGTCGGTACTGTCATGCGAACTGAGACGAATTCGTGAGCAGACTCCACTTCAACGAAGCGTTTGGTATCTGATTGTCACGTTCTTCAATCTCATCTTCACCGTGCTGCTTCGAGGGCTGACCACGGTTGAGGTTTAAAAACTATAAGAACCCTTTCACTTCCTTTTATTGCTTGAATTTGAAAAAATTAATGAGATTTTTCTCTTTTTTCTTCGGTACTTTCAGATAATATTTTTTTTGAGTAACTTTCATTTTCCTTCCAGCGAATATGTTTCCCGAACTGAAATCATTTTGTCACTGTTTTTTGTTTCTTTTGCTTTTTTCTTTTGCTGAATTCTCACCATTTAAAATTCATAATTTCAGAAAAATCAACGTCACGAAGTCGAGTCAGTGACGAGTGACCGAAGTCGGTGAGTAGAAAATATTTCGTTTGAAAAATCGGCGCTGCTTGGCTCGAGGGGATGGGGCTCTTTGCACTTTTGCTGGTTATTTTGGTGATTTTCGTGAGTTCCTGTTAACGAACCTGGAAGGTGCCGTGAAGCTGCATAATTGCACGAGTAAGCCACTTTGGTTACAGAGGTGTACAGATCTCCTCAACTTGACCTGTTCGAGTACCCTCCTGAGCCCCCACCAAGCCGAGTTGCGCCGAAATTCTCTCGGACTTAACTCCTTATCCCTGAGCCAGAGTAGGCGTGGCATTTGAACATGGCACGGAATTGGTTACTCGTGGAATATTCCAGTCTGGGACAACTGTCATCTTGTTCTGTGTTGGACAGAGACACGACAACAATTGTGTCAAGATGAAAATATCTCACCAGAAGCATAGACACCTTCAGGTTAAGTTGAAACATGCGGCCACGCCTACCCGTCTCAGGGATTTCGAGTATTCTGCAAGCCTTTCCTTATCAACTGATCCTCCTTTAGGTACACGCTTTCGCACCGATTTCAACTTCGTGAAAACTCACGAACGTGTTCGTTTCTCGTCTCATTACATGGGCTGATATGTCTGTGCTTCCTTGCGTTCAGCCTTGTCGACCTTGCCGTTGCCGATGTTGGCAAAAACGACGACATCTACATGCTCCTATTCAGAAGGGTTCGTGTGTCTTCGTATGGTAGAAACTCTACGATAGTTCCAATGAAATCCACTTGACCCTGCTATTGTACCTGTATTTTAAGGAGCTCTCATACGTGATTTCACCGCTATTTACTATTCTGTTCGCGTTGAATTTCCTATGCCGTCTCGACATTGTCTACGACAAAGCAAAGAAGTTCGTTCGGGCAATTTACGGCTACGATGAAGGTATGTTTTTTTACATCTCCAATTTTATCTAAGACAAGCATGGGTATAAAATTAAACGGTGCTGCCGAAGAAGAGCAGGTAATGGTCAGGAGGCTCACATTGCGGTAACGCGGCGAAAGCGTTGTTGCGAGTGGCATCGCGAGCACGGAATTCGAACCAGGGCCTAACCGATTTATCATGAAGTGGCCTGTTGAGTCAACTACCAGAAAAAACGTTACCTAACGGTGATATTCCGACCCGTGAGAGGGAGCGGGTTCTAGGCGCTGGTTCACTCCCTCACCGCGGATCCGACTATTGTCTTTTTCGCTACACGTCTAGTCAGAATCCTAGTTAGCAAATATACAGGGGGGGGGGGCAAAAAAAAGTCATTCCGGCCGAGTCACATATGAGCGAAGTTTTCGCAGCCCAGACAGAGTGGATATGAGTACCAGGGCGGAAGATACCCAAGATCTTCCTCTATAAGCAGGAGCCGGCTGCCGCCATTCACCTTCATGTACACCAAAATATGAAGTCATCTCCAGTCGCGGCCTGAGTGGAGAACGCCTTTGGAATTCACGTGGCCTCCAAACAGCTGCGGAACTTCTTGAATGGAATCACCCATGGATAGCTACCTGGAGACCAGTACTCTTGATCTGCAAGACCTCAAACATCGAGCAGCTCCGGCAACGTCGCTACGGTCCAGGACATCATCTTCACCCCATTCACCAAGGCGCGGGTTGATGGTGTGGACCGGCCGTACCCTGGAATGGATGAACCGATATTTTCTTCGTGGGCCCCAGACTGAGGGTGTGCGCTGGTGGCTACATCGAGCAACTCGAGGAGAATATCCTCCCTACATGTGGTCGCCCGTACCTTCTTGGAGACCTTGTGCTGCTACAGGTTTGGGTGCCACCACATGGAATCGAAGGGTTTTGGAAAAACTCCCGCCTACTTCGAATGGAAGGGCGTTTCGTACCTGAAAAGATGGAGTATTTAAGCGGGGTCCTGAACTAAACCCCCTCAATTACTCGGTTCGGGCGGAGCTCAAACAGGGTGGTCTACAGTGGCGGAGAAATCAACGATCTCGCTCAACTCCGGTACCCACTCACTTTCGCGCGGCCGAATCTCTCGATGGCGCTCCTCCAGAAGGCTGTGGCGGAGTATCATTATAGTATTTAATGTGCTCTTTAATATGGTAGTAAAAATGTCCGATAAAAATTTAATAAAGTGTAACTTATAGCGCCTTGAAAGTCATGGAGGCAAAATGACTTTTTTTTGGCCCCCCCCTGTATTGGAAGAAAGTCTTGTCAGTGTTGTGACTTTTTTTTATTACTTTTTTAACTCAACATACAGTGGGAATTAGTCAACAATATACTCGTCATAGTTAGCCACTACAGTGCTCCACCCAATGGACAGGTAAGCATTCCCCTCCTCCCAGAACTGAGAAGGCTGCGAGTAGAGTAAGTCAGCGCCCTCTCGACTGATGTCATCAAAGTTGCTGAAAGTTTTCTTAGCTAAGAAAGCCTTAAGGAGGCGGAGCAGGTAGCAGTCGTAGGGGACTACGTCAGGAGAGTACGATGAGCGGGGACTGGTCTTCCAGCCTTGCTCCTCAATTATTTGGTAGGTCTTCATAGCAGGTATGGGGTCTCGTGTACTACGAACGAGGTGACCCGAAGCTAGTCTCGGTCATTTTTCTCCAACAATTTTCACTCGTTTCGGGAGCTGAGCGACACAAATGGTGGCGGTGACCGTCTGTTCTTATGGGGCAGCTCGTTCTCCCAGGAGCAGCACAGGAGAACCTTTTCGGAATACATGCCCGGTTTGGACTGCTAGAATGGATCTTCTCCTTGAGAGAGACAAACGGTACTGTGTGGGTTGAAATCATAGAGGACCCATCTCTCATCCCCACTAAGCAGTCTCCCGGAAACTCCTTCTGACGAGGGCAGAGAAGGGGAGACTGACCAAGGGGTACCGGGGGTGTACAGCGTGCCGATCCGTCAAGGGTATGAAAGTCTATCAGGCTAGTACTTCTGTAGTCAAAGAGGCTCAACGGGGTGGACGACTGTCATTAGGTACATCCGAGTCTTGTCGCAAGACTGCGGGTGGTAGCCTCTGGATCCCCCTTGTCTGCTTCGAGAATGGTGGAGCCTTATACTTCTTGGGGCCGTCCCAACCAAGGTTTGTCTTCGAGGATCGAGTCTCTTTTCGCGAAGCGAGCGAACTAAAAGTGAACGATCCTGACGGTAGTGGTGTCCTCCCTCAATGCACTGTTGATGTTACGGACAGCTGCCGTGGCTCCAGTGCCGCGGGGCCACTGATAGAAGATGATGTCCCGAAGATACTCCTGTGAAACTGACATCGTAATTAAACGGGAAGAGCACGCTCCCCCCCTCACACGCCTCTTGCAGGAAAGCTCCCAGAGTGTCCTACAAGCATAGCATGTTACGTTATGTACGAGCATCGAGAATCAAAAACTGTAAGCTTTTCAAAAAACACTGACAGGACTTTCCTTCCAACCTATTAACCATACCGACCCGATCATCTGAATAAATTCCACCGGAAAACTTCTAGACCACAAAAGCATTCGGCATCCTTAACAACTTCTGAATGTAATTCGGAAGCGTGGCGCATTCCGAAGCGATTGACCGACACTCACTTAAGAAAACTGGTTTGGAGTTCGTTACTCCAACGGGACTCCCGGACTCACAGACTAGAGCGCGACTGCAGCAGTCTTTTCCGACAGTTGTTGCCGGCTCGGGATGGCATTTTGGCGGGAGCGCTCGTAACGCTTGCATTTACAATCCATGTCCTTTCACACGCCTCCTGGTTTGCAGGGATCATGATTGCACTTCTTCGTACAGAGGTCCCTCCACTTCTACTTGATAGGACTGTCCATGATCGCCTGACTTGGACCGTGGAGTTGAAGATTCAGCGCTATTCTCATCAGATGACCCTACGGCCTTGCAATCTCGAAACGTTGTCTGCACTGGCTCTCACAGTACACACCATCTTCCAATGCAGTGCAGTATTCCTTGGCAGGAAAAGCCAAAGCAAATGTCAGCTCGCATGCTTACGGAGATTAGCACTTAGGATAGAATGCGTGGCTAATTATTAGCACACTAGTTCATGAAATCACCCTTTTTTCGAGTCTCTGACAAGCAAGTAACCATGCGCTTCTTAGGGAAGGTGGGAATGGTCCCCACTTCGAGTGCCTACATGTGATGGTACCTGAACCATCACACGCGTTTCTTTGTCATGAAGCTATTCGCCCTTGCGCCTCACAGGTAATTTGGTTGGAATCAAATCCTTGCTTATCGCAGTAGCTGGCCAAAAAAGGCCCTGACATCGCCAAGTAAATTAGTGCTCATTCAAACTCCTGTGAAAGTGAGTTTATGGGCAAACTACTGCGCATGAGGGCCAAGAAGCGTTGGGTGTGCAGCATGCCTCTGCAAACGCTTTTGCGCCAGCAATGGATGTGATTTTAGCTCCCGGCGGGTGGGATAAAACTTTCCGTGTGTACAAACTTCCAGCAGAATCTGCGATTAAGACCTGATTTCGCCCAGTGGAACCACCTATGGGTTGCAGTTCTTCGCACAGTTGGAACCACCCATGGGTTGCAGTCCGATGCACATTCAACGCTTTGTAACTATAGTAAGATTTTCTGGCCCTGTTCAGCTTGGGGGGGGAGGGATTTTTTACTTTACCTAGACCCTTGCTAGTTCATGTTAATCGAACTGAGACAACTAAACTGTTGTGAAGCTGCAAAATGGCACAAATTAACCCTTTTTCGTTACAGAAGCTTGTAGGTCTTGAGTTTGTACAAGCATGGTTCGGTGCGATTGTCTCCACAAGGCTGCACCACGCCTTCTGCTATTTCAAAGCAATGCAGTTGCTGGCACGTTCATCCTGTTAATGTACCTGTGTGAAACCCATAAGCGAGCGCCGTCCGAAATTATCAATGGCAGGCTGCCCGTGCGACCAGTAACGGCCATTATTCACCCATTTCTGCCCACTTTTTTCTGAAGTTTCGTCGAAATCTCAGTCCACGCTAGAAATCGGTCCTCAGGGGGCGAATCTTACTTTTGGCTAGAAATCAGTCTCCAGGGGTAGCTTCGCTCTTTGAACACTGACATGACACACGTTTACAGCGAAAACGCGTGGGAAGTGGTGTTCAGGGATCTCGACACCCAAGTGTTCTTGGCTGCAGGAAATCGGCAACCGCTGCTCTTCTAGCTGGGCCTCTCCTACCGTACTAACACACTCTCCTCAGTTTTGTGTGCCTCACCTATTCCGAACTAGATTTAAAATTATTAGGGCTAATGTAAGTAGTGGTGTCAGTAGGGAGGGCGTGCCTGAAGTGGGTTTTCAAGGAACGACGCACGTGCATGGCACTCGCATCAGGAGCTATTTGACTAGAAGATACCGCTGTGCCGCGTACACATCGCCGATGTTGGATCACTCAGTCCGCATAACTTGCGGAGGTTTTCTTTTGAAGGCGTCGCAGGCCTTATTCTCGCTTTCTTTTTTATTAAACCTCACCTAATCTCCTGGCAGTGATCGTGGCTGATGGAAAAGCCTACAGAGTGGCCAAAAATACGATAAATAAAAAATCATGAAACCATACTCCAGGTGGTTTCTCCATCGTGCTAAATGAAATGTTTTTCAGAGAAAAATCTTCTGGCGTGAGAAATCACCGGTCTCTTACCACATCGTTCCGATGTTACTCGCTCCATGGGTTCAAGCTTGATCTACCAAATCAACCGTACTCGATCTCAGTAGTTGATCTCAGTTCTATTTGTCATGCAGATATTTATGAATAAAACATATTTGTATGTTTTCTAGATACGCTAGCATAAGAATAGCGTCGTTTGTTGATTTTTCAGCCAAGACAATGATTTTTCACTTCCAACCATTTTTATTAGTGCAGATCTCCTACAGCGGACCAGATACGACCCTTCCATCTATGATGCCGTTTAGACCTCTTGTTAATGCGATAACGCCGTCTAGACGGGTTGTATTTGAGAGAACGAACGAGCTCTTCTAACTCTAGATATGCTTGATGAGGTAGAGATCTCTAGATTGAGCGCGGAAATTACGTCCAAATTTCCGGAGTAGCCCATTTTCTTCTCTATCGCCAATTTTTTTCGAAAAATGGTCGTGGAGGGATCGGAGCTGCAGCGTGTACTTGCGTTTTGGCCCTTGAGTAACGGCACCAACTCTTCTGACTGCCTTTTCTCTGAATTCATGGGCAGACCTAGCGATTCATCTTTATATTTCCCTTGTATTTTAGACAACACAGACCATCGTGGGGAGGCGGGTTGCCAGTGAAGGGAGAATAGGGGTGAAATAGGGGCATATTCAATGCTGGAGTGAGGGGGGGGAGTGATCGTAAGCACGCAGTCAGTGGTCATCGAGCAGCAGAAATGTGTTAATATCGGTGAATTGTGGCTAGGGAATTTGCGCTGGAGAGAATCGGGACGTAAGAGAAACATCAAAACACCAGGAAATTCCCAATAAAGCAAAGATCTGGTGGTCTACATAATATTCAGAAAGAACTCAACTATTGTGGAGAGGAAGACATCTGCCTCCGTTTGAATCCACTCATAGATCTGCCAATGGTCCGCATGAAGGAAATAGCCGCCGTGCTGACACAAAAACTCGCATGTGGCTTTCGAAATCCCTACAGAGTGTCCAGCGATGTATATTTGTCAAAATGGGAACTGCTCATAGTCATCTCAGTCCTTTTTATAGAAGCGCCAATCTGGCTCTTCGCAACTGCGTTTTCCTTTCCCTAGGGTTTCAGCTTTGAGAAACTTATAGCTGGTCAAAAAAGGTGATGCTTTTGCAAGCTTCCCAGCGCTTTCCCCGCCGCTGAGGGACATTTTGGCAAAACACAATCCCCTTCTACTTTCTTCCTACCACCTTCCCAGATTTAACAGTTTCCTATTATTTTTCCGGAGTTTTTCCGAGAATCCCTCCACATTTTGCCCAGAAAACTGCCATCGCAATCGAGTGGGGTCAAGCTGGTGGATCGGGGAGGCGAACGGAAGCTTATAATACGGAATACGGCTCCCCCTCTTCAAATCGACGCGCCCTGTACCCCAGACAATCTGCTTCAACGCAATACAACAAGAAAAAGCCTTCCCGTGCGTAAAAGTTTCGTAAACTCCTTTTCCTATTCTTTCTCCATTTTCTAGTTTCGCTTTTTTCAACTCCTGTTTCGTAATGTTTTTTATCGTACCATGTTCGCGCTCCACTCGACCTCAGTACTGTACAACTTTTCATTGTTCTTTGACAATTTGGCATTTTTGCTCCCATCGGGCGACGGGCAAGCATGGATCGTAGTTCGTCTATGCGCCGGCGCGTGTGAGGGTCGCGACATCTTTCATCGTTTTCTTAACTCGTGTTAGCCTGTCGATCGGAGCACCATACTTCACGTGGGCTACGAAACTGTGGCATTCATGACTATTTTCGCTCCGAATTGCCTGCTTGTCGTACATCTACAACCAGAGCCATCTTCATTTGTTGCGGGCACGATCCTCGCACGCTACGCAATCCAGCGGCAGCGAATACGATCCTCTAGTCACGTACTCCCAGCTTTCATGTATCCATTGGGCCCCAAAGCCCGAGGTTGTGATCGCGAAGAATCTCTAGTTGTTCCCCGGTGTGCATGGATGTTGTGCTGATAAACTATGGACTTTTCATTGTCGATGCGATCCCATGGACCGAATTTTACTAATTCGTAAGTACGCTCATGGTACCACTTATCATTGTACTGGTACTTTTATCTCGGGTTTAAAAAAGGGATCACACAGGTATTTTCTTTTTTGAGGGTGGTGCTGAGACCGCACTCGCTTGTCCAAAATCCCTCAGTCTTCCTTTGGTTTTAGAGGCTTCTTCTGTCCTGCCTGGAATCTCTTTCTACTACTGTGAGTCCTTATCTACCTCATTTCGCCTTATGAGAGAGCAGTTCACGAGTGCCCACTCAAATGTGGGTCAGAACAAGTCCATCCAATAACTGGGTTTTGCGGTTTATTCAAAAAATACCAGAGAGGTAATGTTTTAAGAAGTTCTGATGTGCCATCGCCGGAGGGTCCAGGAAGCCATTTCGTTGGGTCAGAAACAAATAACGTTGCACTAACTCAACGGTGCTGGTTCCTGTCATGTGCGACGCTGAATGATTCCCGCTACCGTAACGACGCGTGCCACTTTCCCTAGTCATCTAGTGGCCAGGAGGAGGTAGTGGATTCCCGAGTGCCGTTTCCATAAACCGCGAGTGCTGCCGCACGGCTAGCCACGGCCTAAACATAGCAGAACGCACTGCTTGTTCGCGCCCTCTCAGTTCTCCGTTATGCACCATGCACTACCACTGAGAGCGCATGTTTCCGATACCGCGGACATTGCGGTAGTCAATGACGTGCTAAGCACATTGAGGACAACGCGAGCGGTAGTATTGGAGATATCACTCGGATGCCTCTACATTACAGCTCGTTCCTCTGCGCCCTCGAGCGTAGAAAGTGGCACTTTACTGAGCTGCGGACCCACTCATCTCACAATTGTGAAACGTCGTGCGACTCCCTTCATCTAACTGGTGGTGGGAAAACCGTCTTCTTCTCACAAAATGACGATCTCGAAATTTGCGATTGTCGCTATTGTAATAGTAGCGAGACGTGGCGCGTCGACGCGCCTTATCGCAAAGTCTGAACATCGCGTAGATGAGTACGCCAAGGTGTAGAGTACTCCAAGTCATGAAGGGTACCTCTGGGTGTACAAGGTGGGGGCTCAAAAAAGACAAATTGTCGAGGTCAATAGGTTATTTTTTGTCAGCATCAATCACTAAAGATATACGCAAGTTGTCCTAGGGAGAGAGGCGGCTAGATAGGAGTACCACGGCGGAAGATACCCAAGAAGTTTCTCGATAAGGAGGGGTATGTTCTCGTCCATCACCTTCACGTACACCAATGTATGAGGTCATTGCCCCCCCCCCCTTAGCAATCTGCCCAGCCGAACAAGGTCTATGGAAGTCACTTCTCCTTCAACAGCTGCGGAACTTCTTGTGTGGAGTCACCTATGGACAGCCACCTGGGGATCAGCACTCTCGATCTGGGAGATCCAACATCGAGCAGCTGCTGCACCAACTTCTGCCACAGTCAGAGAGCATCATCATTCACCGTCAGTTCGTCAAGGAAGCTGGTGTGATAGTAGGCCGACCGGATCTACCTGGCGATATTTTCTTCGGTGTTGGCCGCGAAAGCTGAAGGCTGAACTCCGACTTGCTATATCGGCAACTCAAGCGAGGAATTATTCTAATCTCCATAACGCACGTGCTACCATACGTTAGTAAACTTCGTACTGATACGGGTTTGAGTGTAAGCACATGGAATCGAAAGGCGTCGGAAAAACTCTCGCCTACATGGGATCGAAGGACCTGAAGAAGACGGAATACCCAAGCATGTCACCTGACCTAAACCTTCTCATTTACCGTGTTCGGTTGGGAGCTCAACAGGGTGGGCTACTACACTGGTCGCGAAGAAATCAACGACCTTGTCTGAAACTCATTACACTGCACCGAATCACGATTCGCGTGCAGATTATCTTCTCGATGATTTTTCGTGCAGAAGTCTTGGGGCGGATAGTTTCGAATAGTGTTAAAATGGTGTTGTCCTGAATATGGTGGTGGAAATGTACATCAGAATTTCATAGTAAGGTGTTAACTTATATGGCCTTGAAAGTCTAATGGCAAAATGTGTTTTTCTTTACTCCCTTAATGTATGTGTAGTGAGGTAGATGATTAAATAAAAATAAATTTTATCACAGCACATTCATCGTTTTATCAACAAACACTTGTGCGATAAACACTCGCAACAGCATTGAAGTAGAAGCGGTATTCGAAAGAAATTCACTATATGCAATTAATGTTGAATAAATAAAGGCGTCAATAAATAGAAGAATAAATAATAAATACGTTAATAAATAAGCAGAGAATGGAGTTAAATGCCGAACGCATAGCAGGTATGGTTGAATGCGGTGGATGAGCAGAAGATCGACGATCTTGGGGCAGAATAGACTGACTCGCCAGTTGGTGCAAACAATCGACAGACAGTGGTTCAACCTTCTGTCATAGAGTTGCATTCACTACGATTCGCCTTCGATTTGCATGGGATCAGCTACCATATTCTGAAAGAGCAGATCGCTTCTCGAATCTCTGAAAAAATAATTAACAATACAATGGAAAAATCTTTCTTGCGAAGGACAGGACTGCTGAGTGGCTCAACAGCCCATAATTGTGTGGCAGCAGTGACAAGTTACGGTAGCTTTGACAATTTCCACCTCTTCCAAGGACTCAGAAGTACACCTTCAGAGGTAAGGAGCATCAGTTGCCCATTCACCAATAATTTTAACATGAAAATGGTCCGATAGCTTTTCTCATTTTCTTCGAGCACCCCATGAAATCGCTTCAGTGAGAAGGATGAGATTTCAAATGCTACGCTTTCACTAATTAGCCAGAGGCAACTCTCTGGACTCAGATGTTCGGCGCCTAGGAACTAAGTGCGGAGCGTATAGATCACTTAGCGTTCCCAACCACAAACTTCCCGGCTGGCCTAGTGGTTTAGTGCGCTGCTGCCTTCCTTTATTAATATCTCGCTATGCCTGCGTCCCAGTTGGTGAGGGAGGAGCGGCAGAGAGGAGCTGAGCCACGTCATGCCTGATCCAGTCACGCCGTGACACTCCGCTTCACGGAAATCACTCTCCGCTAGCTTAGCCGAGATTGCCCCTCACTGCGACTTAATGTGGAATGGGAAGTCCTCCTGGCTTGGTCACCTCATAGGCTCTTTCACTGGAAGTTTTGCTACTGATGAGACTCCAAGTAAAGACTACCTGTCGGATGAATCGCTTCAGTTCTGGGTTGTTGCATAACTTGTCACTGTGTTCTGCTTGGAAGCGGTCCTTTTCCATGTCTTCCGTTGATCTGAAAGGAGTTACCAGCAAAATTAATTGAACAGCTTTAGTAGTGTCCTCAAACTGATAGCATAAATTTTCATTATTCGTTCAGTTCCAACAGATTCTGCTTATAAAGCTCCCAGCGGTCAAATAGACTCCCCTAACAACTGATTCAGGCACTCTGCTGTTTACACATTCCTGAAAGATGAAGTCCTCGACATTCGGATGGGCTGAGGCAGGAACAGAAACTCAGGACCATTGTGCCTTCTTCATTTAGTGCGCCCCACCTTTCTATCTTGCAGGAAAGAAGAGTGCACGAGTGGGAGAATTTTTACCCATTTTTCGGTCCGTTCTCTGATACCGAGAAGAGACTTTCCCACCAGGAAACTTTTCTAAGAACAAAGGTTCCCAAAAATGAAACCTTCAAACTGACCTCTTCTTTCTTCCACCACATCCACCACAGCACTGTCCTCCTCCACCACCACCGAAGAAGATGCTCTCCGTGGGGATCACCATTGCCAGAACGAAGAAAGTGCACAGGAAGTACGAGAAGGCCATGGCTGTAAGAAGTTGTTGGTTTGCCTGGAAGCCATCAAGTGCAAACCGTGGTCGATACTTCGGAAAAAGTCACGAATTGAGAGCAAAGCCTTGCTAGAGCATGTGGCAGGGCAGACATATTAGTGACTGTCCCCGCTCTATATGGTCAGCGAGGAAAAATAACTTGAAGAGAAATGAACGAACCATTCAGGGCATAAGCTTCAGAAAAGTTCGCTCGGTAAGGTTAGGTAGCCCCAGGCGGATCACAGGGGCTTTGCAGAGGGAACTTATCCACAAATGCTTAGTATGTTCAGACCGCAATGACTTTTTGAGTCTAGTTGAGGTCATTTGAGTCGCCCGCTGACCAAGTTACCCGATCTATGCACGTATTACTAGCAGGCTGAATACCCTGGGCACCAATCACACGTTTGATCCCAAGATCTTTTGGCAGATATTCCGAGCATTCAATGAAAATAGAGAGTCGAAGATCAGCAAATTTGAGGAAACGCTATAATAAGTTTTGTGACGTCCACTAGGACGCAACAGGGGTTGGCTGGTGAACTCCCCAGGTCTGGATCTTGCACCAAGTCAACACATGGACGGTCAAAAGAGTGCGCGCATTGTCGGCTTCTTCATGAAATTTCCACAAGCTGCGACCCGGCGCGAACTCTCTCTGACCAAGAAGCGTCAAGAACGCTCCGGCCTTACACGGACGAACAGAGGCTTAGCAAAACCTGCTCGCGTAGTTTGATGGTCATCCACGCAACAGGGGGTGGAGGTTCGGCCGCAATTCGCCTTGTGGGGTATCCATCCCGCAAGGTTCAATCTCATGTAAAGACGAAGCAGCGCGAGCTTTGGTAGCTTTGATAAGAGTCTGCCAGAGATGACATCTTATCAAGGAACGATGTGTGATTGCAAGGACTCATAAGGGAAGGTAGCTAAATACAGTTATATGCCCCCTCCTAGAAGCGTGATAGCGCGTGACAGAGCATGAAACTGTTTCTAAGGGTAAGAGCTTGACTGGATGGTCACCTTATCCCGTACATTACCGTACACTTTACAGGTCACCTTTATCACCTGAACAACTAATAGCACCCGGTTTCCCCTCAGGACTGCGAGAATCTCTTAGCTGGTTCAGAATGAGGCATTGTTGGTCAAGGAGGGACAGAATGATCAAGAGGGACAGAATGTCGAGCCAAACCCATAGTGTAGACCGCTGGATAGCCAACAACCTTCGATGGTGTGTTATATATACACATAGAAGCGGTGTGGGCGTGTCTTTATAGTAATTTAGAAACTGCAAATCAGGTCGGCTATTATGAAGACCGTGTAGAGTTTCTCCCTCGTCTGAATAGCCGCCGCGGCGACGGTACTCGCCCTAATTCGCTCAACTTCACTTCGTAGCGCCGCGATCGGATCTTAGGATTTGAAACAGTGAATAGAAGCAAACCGGTCAACCCGGTGTTTGCTCTAGACGGATGATTTTAAATTGGGAGCAATTTTCTGGCTAGCAAAAGCCTGCTTCTTATGAGGGCATTGTTTGCGGCATTTCTTCTGAGGAAAAAAACCCACGAAGGCCGAAAATTTTCCCGTCAACTTTTTTTGTTTAGCGCTGGTGTCAGACTTGACAGACGGTCTATCCACTGGACACTGGTCCACATAATTCACAAGAAGGTAACTTGCTGTTGGAGTTCATATCCCCATATGGGTACTACAATTGTTAGGTACTGCGAGAGCTCCCAGGAGTGGGCCAAGGAAGATAACAAGAACAGCAGAGATCATGACAAATGAAGGAAATACATTCTTTGGTAACCATCGGCTCGACCTCAAAACCTGCAGAAAAGGCACATTGATATATCACTTGAGGTACACGAGTTCCATTTTTCATGTGGACAAAGCTGATTCGCTTAACCAGTGCAAGACTGATATCGCCGGTCCGTACAAGTGGCTTACAAGGGCCTTAACACTTACATGGCCCGTAGAATTGAATCCACTACCCGCTAAGCAAGTATTCTGTTTATGCGATGTTGAGAAGATCTAGTCACCTCTAACAATGAGACAAAGAATCCTTCATGAGAATGACCAGTGGGTCGTCCTAGATGGTTCCAGTGGAATCAAAGCCGGTTATTTTAGTTGCGTCCATTCTGAGCTTCGTGTTCGAGAAGCTTAGAGAATGAGATTCGCTATAAGACTGATCTTTTTTTAATTTCTTGTTCTTCCAGTCAGGACTGCACCACAGTGGTGTACTGTTTTCGGTGAACTCTCTGTGGATTCTTCTGTGAAATCTCTAAGGTGCCACAGTGTTGCACCGAGTGAGCGTATGGAGGTGAGCTCTTCCATGTGTACCGATATTAAGGTCGCGTTAACCGCCCAAATAGGCGTCCTCATTTGCTGGAAAAACTATTTGCAGAGCAACTGTGAATGGTGACATGTGGTTGGCTAATTCTTATCATAATGGGAAAAGATCCGTGAACGGCAAACAGGTTGCTTCGTCTTTTCTCATGGTATTTACATGTAACACAGGGAAGGAGTGGTTGTGAATTTAAGCCGTGGGAAAAACGGTTGACTGTCTCCGCCCATGCTGCCAAGCGACCAGCGTGGACTGTGTCTTTTGTGGCGGCATCTTACCGTTGGTAAAAGAAACCCAAGTCATATATGAGGAACGTTGTGTAAGTCGCACTCAGAAATTTTCTATATCTTATGCCAGTTCTTGAAAAAGAGTAGGGATCTAGCTACATCGAGGTATAAAGTTCCTCGAACGACTCCACCTAGCACAACCTATTGCGCTTCAAGTTGCATCCTGTCGTCTCTCTCGTGCACCCTCAAATCTCCTGTCTGGATTATGTCCGTAAATCTCGAGCCCTAGCCTCTTACTCAGAATCAAGTGCGAAAAGGAGTGTATTCAAGATAGTCCCATAGGATGGTTGCGGTCCTTTTTGAAGAGTCAATCAAATAAAAGATGAATTTCTGTGTTTTCACCTCACTACTACGATATACATTAGCAGAACTCTTTTACCAACAGTTATCAGTGACAGCGGGAACTTTCACTTCGACTTAGCCACGAAGAGACACATTTGGGCCGAATATGCATCCAACGATCTCTTCATAGTTGGAGTGATTCTGGCGGCGGATATCTGGACATCCCGAGCATGGTAAAATTGTTGTGATCGAAACTCTCTTCTGGAACTCCAGAATAATAGCAAATAATGGGAGCTGATTTTCTGTATTCTACAGAATGAACCTCACTTGTTTACCTCTACCATGATATCAATATTGTTTACCATTTGCACATTCGCTTCCTCCCAGCCAGGAGTATGGTTTAGTTTTGTTGTGACGCGGTTCGATGAATAAACATCCGACGAAACCCTTGACCGGCAGAAGCAAGATGGAAGGAGTAGGAACACTGATGTAGAGGCGCATCGCCTGCTTGACCCGAACATTATCCATTATCGTGTTCGCAAAGACTTCTGGTAAGGCAGAGCAGCCTTCCTGGACTCATTTTAGGGCCAGATCCACACCGAGTTCAGTTATTCGGTAATGAGGCCTGATTTGTTGAAGTCATGCAAGTCAAAAGGTTTTCCGAATGTTCCCATGTTTCTGAAACTGATCGATTGCTGGAATGCATGGCGCATCCCAGCAAAGGATTGATGAACACCAAATATTTCATATTTTATTGTTCATCATCACACTACATAAAAATTTAGATCATATGACATCACACTCGGA